CATAGGGTCGCTATGAGTCGCAGGCAACTCGATGACACATAACAACAACAACAACAACAGTAATACAATGAAACCCCAGTCCTGCAGCATCTTCACAATCTGTACTATACTTAACCCCACTTTTGTAGTCACTGTATCAGTTCTTGTCATTGAATATTTTTCTCTCGTCACTTCACATATTTATTTGTTCATTTCACATACTTAAGGCATGTTAAGGCAGTCCCTGGAGAAAGATATCATGCTTAGTAAAGTAGAGGGTCAGTGCTTTTATGACTGAGTTGACTTAAGTTTTCGTGAGACTGTGGTTCTAAACCTTAGTCTTACTTGGTAAATCAGTCTGAAGAGGTTCTTTAATGTATCTAGGAAGTATTATTAACTGTATTCCCTATGTGTTTTCTTCTCTATATGATTATCTATCTAGCGCACATACAAACATACATATACATAGGTTCATAAATAAACCTGTATCTTCATGAGCAAAGGAGCCCAGGTGACCCAGTGGTTAAATGTTTGACTGTTGCAAGGCTAACAATTTGAAACTACCAGCTGCTTCTCAGGAGAAGGATGTCAACCTCTGCTTCTGTAAAGATTTACAGTCTTAGAAACCTTATGGGTGATTCTCCTGTGGCCTATAGAGTCACCAGGAATCATAATTGACATGACAACAACGGTCATAATTGATATAACAACAAACTTGAACATGTACTCGCATGTGTCTTCCCACACCCAAATAGCATACATATTTACCTGTGTAGCCACTCATATCCTGTTGCACAAAATTGTGGACACTCACTCTTCATTTATCCACTTGGTTATATTCCAGAGACTGGGCTTTTATATGAAAATGGATCACAGAATGGAAGATGAGTGTATCAAGAATATAATGGCCAAATTATATTACTAAAAGCAGTCCTTTCTTACTGCCAGATGTATGCCATTAATCCACCCATCATATTTTTTTACTGTTGTCATAAATATGAAATGCTGGATAATGAGATAATTGATATCTGAGAAGTCAGTGTATGTTGTTAGGCATTTACCATAGTTGTCCATTGTTCTTGTGTCTGGAACAGACTTACAGTGGCTTCATTTACTTGGTTAAGTTGTGTTGATTTTGCCAATATTTGTGTATTGCTTTCCTACCACCAAAATGAGCATATACCTACGGACAGTAAGTTATTCTCTCCCTCCCTCCCATTTCCATCCCTACCAACCATCAAAAAATGTTGCTTTCTGTTTGGATACCTACTCTTAACTTTTTATAAAAGCAGTATCATGCAGTATTTGTCTTTTAATTTTTATTTCATTTCTTCAACATAATGCTTTTCAGTTTCATCATGTTATATTTATCGTATTCGCTATTGCTCTTTTGAAGTTCATTGTATGTATATGTAGTCTTCTGTAATCTTTAAGTGAAAATACTTTTATGTACAAAAGAATATTAATACACATAAGATATAAATAACAATAGCTTGAGCCTTAACTAGCTACCATTTGACTTAAAAAGCAAACATTTTCTATACTTCAAAATTCTGTTTCTAAGTTTTTCACATTATTTGCTTTCCCCCCACTTTTGCTGAATTTCTTTATTTTTTATGACATTCTTTGGTTTTTATCTTTAACCCATTATGGCAACGTCTTTATAGATGAGAAAAGATTGAAAGGGTATCCACAGTTAACACCTTGGGAATAGCAGTCAGGAAATCAGGAGGCATATTGTACTGGGAAAATCTGTAGTTAGGGACCTCTCCAAATTATTGAGGATTAATGATTTCAGTTTGAGGACTAAGGTGTGTCTGATTCAGGCCATGGTCTTTTTGATTACTTGCTATGATTTTGAGAGCTGGACAATGAAAAAGGATGACAGAAAAAGAATTGAGGCCTTTGGCCTGTGGGTTTTGGAGAAGAGCAGTGAACATTTCATGGACTGCCAAAAGAATATATAAATATGTCTTGGATAGGGTGCAGCCAAAGTGCTCTTTGGAGGTAAAGATGATGAGGCTTCACTTTACATACTTTGGACATGTTGCAAGGAGGGGTGAATCACGTGATGCTTGGAAAGGTAGAGGGTTGGTAAAGGAGAGTCCACCACTTGACCAGGTGGATTGAGAAGGTGACTGCCACAATGGGCTCTAATGTGTCAGGAAGTGTGAGGATGGCACAGGTGAGGACAGGATTCTGATGTGTTGATCATAGGGTCATTATGGGTCATACTTGGCTTGGTGTCACCTAACAACAACAACAAAAACATCTTTAACACATATGTATCAATTCCTATTGTTTACTATTACTTGTTTTTGAACTTTAAAATTAAACACCAGATGAGTTTTACTGCCACATGCTTTTTTTCCCTTTTCAGTGTTATGTTTATGAGATTTATCTTATTAAAATCAGTTCACTTTTATATTGTCGTTAGGTGCCATCGAGTTGAGTGTGATCCATAGCAACTTTATGAACAACAGATCTGAACTCTGTGCTATCCTGTGCCATCCTCACACTTCGTGACACATTATATTCACTCTTATAGTCCTATGAAAAAGCAAACTCACTGCCATCGATTCTGTTCTAACTCGTAAGAAACTTCCATCAGTTTTCCAGACTGTAAATGGTAAGGGGAAAAGACTACCCCAGTTTCTCCCAAGAAACCATGGGTGGATTCTAACTACTAGACATGTATTGCCTTTGGGTTTTGCAGTGACACTCCCTACAGACTGCTCCACTAGTTGTTGCTATAAGTAGATGCTTTACAACTTGTAGTGACTGTATGAAAAACAGATCTGAACCCTGCACCATCCTGTGCCATCCTCATCAACTCTGACACACTTGAGCCCACTGTTTCAGTCACTGTTATCAATCTATTTGGTTGAAGGTCTTCTTCTCTTTTGCTTACCCTTCACCTTTCTAAGCATGCTGTACTTTTCCAAGGAATAGCGTTTCCTAACAACATGCTCAAATATATGAGTCGAAGCTTCACCATGCTTCTCTCGAAAAAGCATTCTGACTGATTTTTTTTCCAGGAGAGTACCTTTTTGTTTTCCTGGAAGTCCACAGGATAGTCAGTGCTCTTCTGCAACTACAACTCAAAAGTGTCAATTCTCTGTCTTCCTTAT